CACCAATTGTCTTCAGTGAGCTGATATCTCTACAACAGACCTGGTAGAACTCCACTGGCCACTGCTTCCCACTAGAACTCAAGGAAATATCTCTTGAAGTCGGTCACTAGTGAGCATATGATTATAGATCAGAGGGGGTTTTGTGGAGAATTTAGTATTTTCACATTTGAAATCATGAGTCAATTGAAGCTAGACCACCATCGGTTAAGGGCTTCGGCTCAAGACTGGTAGGTCCTGAGTTCGAATCTCGCGAGTGCGGGATCGTGGACGCGCACTGCTGAGGAGTCCCATAATAGGACAAAACGGCAGTCCAGTGCTTCCAGGTTTTCGAAGGTGGTCTAGCTTCAATGGACTCATGATTTCAACTGTGAAAATATATATAGGTGCATAATGTTTTATGGTGAAAATAGCAACCACTAGAGACCGTGAAGAGCTGCTCGCTCATGATCCTACGAGGAATCGAAACCCGGGTGTATAAATATTGTTTTCAATCAGAGGACTTAAACATCTGTGTTTTTAAACTTATACTTTAAGACGAATTCTCCAGTTTAAAGAAAACAGCTCACTTACTTACCTACGCCTATTAACCTTATTAAAGCATAGGGCGGCCAATCAGAAATCTCCAATTAACTACATTATGAGCTCTCCTTTCCGGCTTTTCCAAGTGCTATTCATTCTTTTGATCTCTGCCTCTAATACATGGCTTAATATGGCTTTTTGATATATCTCTTTTCATTTTTCCCTGATGATTCAAAGCTAGCTCTTGCCTCGTGGTCCAGTCTCATAATTCCCGTACAGTGTGACCTGTCCACTTTCATCATCTTTTCCCGATTTCCTCTACAGATGGAAGTTGGTTTGTTCTCTGCCATAGTAAGCTGTTGCTGATGATATTCGGCCAACAGATATGAAGTGTCGTGCCTAGACAACTGTTTGTAAATACCTGTACCTTTTTGATGATAGTTGTAGTGGTTCACCAAGTTTCAGCATCTGTGAACCGCCCTTTACGCACGAGTTGGCAGTGCACCCGTCGTATTAATTATGTATGGTAATGAAATTGTTCTAAAGCACATCATACTGTCAGACAAGGTTCAAGAAAATTCTCTTATCCACGTTGTCAAATGCTTTCTCGTAGTCAAGGGAGTTGATGAGTAGTGATGAGTTCCATTCAATTGATTTTTCAACTGTGATCTGTAGTGTTGCGATTCGAATGATACTTGGTCGGTTCTTGCGAAAGCCAGATTGTTGATCTCGAAGTTGGTCTTCTACTGAATCAATAACGCTCTGTTGAAAGGTTTATTTGTTATTGATCTTAGTATAATGCCTCTGTAGTACTCATACTTATTACATTCTTCGTTATTCACTATCTTGATGAGGTATCCTTCTTTCCAGTCTATCGGGACATGCTATTCCTCCTAAATCACTCTAAAGAGCATGTGGACTGCCTTTCGAATTGCCTCTGTATCTGACTTTCGTGCTCTAGCTAGTACGTTATCTGGCCCCGGTGCTTTCCCAATCTTCATTTATCTGGTGTCCATGCTGATTTTTTTTATTCTTGGTCGGGTAACATCTATAAAATGGTCTGTAGGTGCTACTTCGATGCCCGATGGTTTTAGAGGGTCTGTTCTATTCAAAAGTTCTTAAAAGTGTTACGCTCAACATTTAAGCTTCACTTGAATCTCAGTGATCGTTTTGTCCATATTGTATTTGGTTGGACTCTCTGGTTTATGTACTTTCCAGCTATCTTCTTCTTCGTATCATATAGTTATCTCAAACTTCCTCCTCTTGCAGCATTTACTGCTATCACTGCGGCCCGGCACCTACTAGCACGTTGAATTTAATATCTCTTTGATCGCTTTCCAGTTGTTCTCCCTCTGCATCTCAAGCCTGGACTCAGATTGACCACATCGCGATCAGCTACCGCTGGCGTGGTTGTGTACAAGACTGCCGCCCCTTTTGGAGTACCTATCTGGAGTCTGATCATGCTCTGGTCTGCGCCAATCTTACCTTACTTTTCAGTGGCCGAACGATTGACCACCACCAACGGATCGATGTTAGTAAACTGGCTGCAACATCTGTTGCAAGTAAGTATCGAGCGGAGCTAGCCTCTAGGCTAGCTACCACCCCACCGAAAAGTATAGATGAGCATTGGTTGCTTCTTCACGACGCCATGAAAATGGCGAGTAAAGCCGCTTGCGGCTTCGCGAAACGTCCCGCTTACAAGCACTGGGTTTCTTCTGGCTCCTTACAACTGATGGAAGCCCGTCGGTCTACTCCGGGTGACCGTGAGTTTGACCACAAACGAAGGCTGTTACGTAGTGAAATCGGGCAAAGCTTGCGTAAGGACCGGGAAGCCTGGTGGTCGGAGCGTGCTAATGAGATGGAAGCAGCAGCTGCAATCTACGAGGATGACGGGATGCCAATCACTAACATCTCTCAACGTCTTGGACGATGGGCGGAATTTTTCGAAGGGCAGTTCAAATGGCCTGCTGCTCCGGCAACATCAACCAGTTTGTCCTGCCCCCCATGGCCGGTGACGACTGATCCACCAAATGAGGCGGAAGTCCGCAAGGAACTCCAACTCTTGCAGCGCTACAAATCACCGGGCCCAGATGACTTACCTCCGGCTCTTTTTAAAGATGGTGGTGACTTTCTGGTTAAGGAATTGACTGTGTTGTTTGGAAAGGTTTGAGAGTAAGAAAGTGTTCCAACATCATGAAATGAGTCAATAGTCGTCCCTATCTTTAATAAGGGTTCACGTTGTTCCTGTAATAACTATTGGGGAATAAGTCTACTTCCGATTGCGTCCAAACTATTGGCTTCTGTCATTCTTCGTAGGTTGTTTAAAACCCGAGAACGATTGACTCGCGAGGAGCAGGCTGGTTTTCGTTCTGGTCGAGGATGCATTGATCACATCTTCACCCTCAGCCAAATGTTAGAACACCGTCATACTTATCGCAGGCCAACAATCGTAGTGTTTCTTGATATCAGGGCGGCCTTCGATTCGTTGGACAGGACTGTTCTCTGGGATTGTCTATTGAAGAAGGGTGTGCCTGAGAAGTTCATTAACATCTTAAAGGCCCTGCATACGAACACCTCATGCAGAGTGAGGGCATACAACCACCTTTCTCCATTGTTCCACTCGAGCAGTGGGGTTAGGCAGGGTTGCCCAATCTCACCATTAATCTTCAACTTTGCCATCGACAACATCCTGGAAACAGCTCTGATAGATGTAAGTAGTGGCGGTGTGGATATGTTGCCTGGAGAACGACTTCTCGACCTCGAGTAGGCGGATGATATTGTCTTACTGTGCGATAATGCTCAAGCCATGCAATCCGCACTTAATCAGTTGGCAATCAGTGTCCGCAGGTACGGCATGTGCTTTGCACCCTCCAAGTGCAAGGTACTCCTACAAGACTGGCAGGATTCTCATCCTGCACTCACCCTGGATGGTGAGGAGATCGAAGTAGTTGAGAAGTTCGTGTATCTAGGTAGCTATATAAGTGCTGGTGGTGGCGTGAGTGATGAGATTGATGCACGTATAATGAAAGCCAGAGTGGCTTATGCCAATCTGGGCCATCTTTGGCGCCTTCGTGATGTTAGTCTGACTGTAAAAGGTCGGATCTACAACGCGTCGGTGCGAGCAGTTTTGCTCTATGCTTGTGAAACCTGGCCTCTCCCAGTTGAGGATGTTAAACGTCTCTCTGTGTTCGATCATCGTTGTCTCCGAAGGATTGCTGACATCGAGTGGCAACACCATGTTAGTAATGCAGAGGTTCGGCATCGTGTGTTCGGTCACAGAGACGATAATTCGATTGGTGTCACCATCTTGAAACACCGACTTCGGTGACTTGGACGTGTTATACGAATGCCGTCCCAGGGACTTCAACGTCGTGCATTATTTGCCGACTCTGGGACTGGTTGGAAAAAGCGGAGAGGAGGTCAGTGTATGACATGGTGTCGTGGCATGAAAGAGAGCTGCAAAGGGCTAGCTTCTGTTGGTCCTTCACGACTCCCTGGTTGGGGTCCGATAGATGGTGCAACACAGTGGCTAGAGACGTTATCAGATATGGCTCAGAATAGAAGCCAGTGGCGATCCTGCTGCAACCTTCTTTTACATTCTACATAAAGAGTGGTTCTAACTTTCTTAACTGAAAGAGTCTTCTGGTTGTACATTTCAGTCCGCCTTATCTTTTCATCCCTTCTCTTCCTACTTTTATTATTTTGTGTGGCGCGTATGTATCTGGTGCCCTTTTGTACCAATATATATGTGTTTAAATAAATAAATAAAATGTTCTCCATAATAGTTTCCTCTTTTTTTAGTAGACCTTGTAAGGCCTGAAACCTGTTGTTGAGAGTTATCTTGTGTTGATTGAGTTTGTCAGTATTTCGAAGCAAAGCTGTATTGAACCTTTGTAATACTGTTTCTCCAGTTGTCCATTGCTTCTCTAGCTTCAGTTTCATTTTGGAAAACACCAGACAGTCGTAATCTGAAGCTATGTCAGCTCCTCTTTTGGTTCTCACGTCTTCTATTGACATTCTGGATTTTTTTACTGATGCAAATACGATCTATCTCGTTCTCTGTAGTGTGGTCCGGTGAGATCCATGTAGCTTTGTGTATACGTTTGTGGGGGAATATAGTGGCACATATAACCATTTTGTTGAAGTCGCAAGTATCTCGCTATTCTTGTCCCTTTTTCCTAGTCCATGTCGTCCCATATTATCTCCACACTCGGTGTTGTCCACTCCTACTTTCGCGTTTCAGCCTCCCATCAAAATGATCAGGTTCTTCCTTGAGCACTTCGTTATTATTGATTGCAGTCCCTTATGAAACTGATCTTTGCCATCTTCATTTCTGTCATTGTTGGGTGCATAACACTGAACAACATTCACTATAACTCCCTCCTTCCTTGTTTTAAAGAACGCTTTGATGATTCTGGATCCATGTGATACAAATCCTACAAGTTCATCTTGTGCTTCTTTGGATAGTATGATTGCCACTCCTTGTATGTGTGAAGTATTTTAATTTTCATGACTAGTGTACAGTAGTATCACACCTGAATCTACTCTTTTTTTCAGCTTGGGTCCAGTGGATTTCATTGATTCCGAGTACTGTCAAGTTGTATTTTCCCACTTCAGTGGCTATTTTACTGGTCCCTCCGGTCTACCACATTGTCCGGACGTTCCATGTACCTTTAATAGTTGTTGATCTGGTTGTTAGAAGGAGCGTTAGCTTCGTGACTTCCGAAGAATCTCGGTTTTCATCCTGAGGCGTTATAATTTTTTTGTATGAAGATCATTTAACTCCCAGCGTAGGGTTCAAATGGTTTAATTTGTTTATTCTGGTTAGTGTTTTTTTGTAAAGTTGTTTTCTTACTGGATGCATTCGCTGCAGTAACTCTAGAAGAGTAACGGGCAGAGTTTTATATCTTGATACTCATATGTATTCCATATTATTTTTGCATCATTCACAAGGAACCCAGATGTTGTTTACAACTCGTGGTGTTTTTTAAGAGGTTTCTTTGATCTGTCTAAGTTCCACTAACTCAAGTTCATAGGAAAAATCTGTTCGATTTCTTACTGGAACTATGATACTGATCGCACCAGGTGGTCATATAGTGTAAGGTAAACGCTACTTATTTAAATATCATTTTTGCACATTTGCTTTTACGAAGAAATTTCCCATGTTTTTTACATACTTGTAGCACTTTATGAACCAAACTGTGTGAAACCTTTTGGTTGTTAAGTGGTGGTGCACGTTTCAACAACCAATAAATTCTACATATATATTATATATTAACAAAATGTATTAAACAACTGTAAGGTATTATAGTGAAATTGCTGATTTAATTCATTTGCAACTTTAATGTAGTAGTCAACTAGCTACAGACTAAAGCGGGACACGTGTCCAACCCGTCACAACTCACGCCAATACTTACTACCTTTATACTATCTCTAAACTATACGCAAGGAATTCTGGAAACATACCTATCATCAAATACCTACGACTTATTTATATCCTCTACATTTCAAAGGTATATTCCATAACCATAAATATACATAGAGAAAACGGATTCCCAGTACATCCTCTTCTAAAGATAGATTAATCTCATCTGGATCAGAATGCATACGAACCAATAGAAGATAAGTGAGTTTGTAGTCAAGCCGAGATTTCGTTAGAAATTAACTTACTAGGAACTTACAAGGTAAATTATATAGTCAATACTCCTGACTTCTTCACTCACTTGGTTAATTCAGATATATATTTAGACCAGATTTTAATCAAACCTTAAGATTCATAAATTTCTTCATAATTAAATAAATAAAGTTTTAACTCTTAAGATATATCCATAAAAAAACTGACATTTTTTCCGTTTGCTGAATCATACTGTTTTGCTTGTGTGTTCGTTTAATCGATTGTTCAATACAAATAATTATCATTCCAGATAAGAAAATATTTATTACTTGATGAGAAACACTATCTCAAAACGTGTAAAGTGACCTGAGCCCTGAAGTTCATTTAGAAAGTTGTAACCAAACAAAATTTTCAACTGTGTTTGTCAAACTTACAGCAGATATTTCTCTAAGTTTTAGAATTTCTCGACTTAGTGGAAATTCTATATGAGTTTTCTTCAGTTGCCTCATATTTATACAACACAGTAAAGTTTTATGATCAGCATCTAATATATATGTAAGTTGTTCTATTGGGGCAGGAACTGTTTCCAGCAATCTACAAGAGGTTGAAATTATTACGGGTAATACCGAATCCAGTCATTGATTAATATGTTAACTCTGAATTAGAGTTAATCATTGTTTTTTTTAACCATTAATTTCTAAAAAGATTCAATAAATGTAAAACTTGAAATCTGATTACCTGTTTATTAAAATTTAGTCTTGCAAGAATAGATATTAAGTAAAGAAAACGATTTGTGTCACTAGATTCAACTCCGAACATAAGAAATCTATTTCACTAGACGTGGTAAGAAAGATAAAATTTAGTGCGCATCTCCTTAAATATAAATTTATTAGAAAAATGCCCAATCATGAGCCCTTGGTGCGTTTGGGACAAGAATTAAGCGGAATTAGTGGGGAATAACATATCTAATTTAGTGAAATGTAGAATGACTTGTAAATTGTAATAGATATTTACTAAAATAACTAATGAATTGATTGAATTTATGATTTTTAAATTAAGTTAAATCTTTGATAAATAAAGGTAAAAGATCTAAATAAAACCAATCAGAAAAGTAATGGAAGTGGATGGAATTTTAAATAGTAAAAAATTTATTTCTGATGACAATACTAATTTGCCACCGAGCCTAAAGGTTCAGAATGGTAGGGTTTATCTCTATTTTTGTTTAGTATATTAATATTGTTAAATCTTTTAGTCCAGCCACCTAGTTACATTTGTTCCCATGAGACATTTATGTAAATGTTTCTCCAAATAATATTTTTATAGTTTTAGTCTCATGCCGCCCACCATTTTAGAAGCACTGAGATGGATGAGCAGTTGAAAGGAGTATATTTTGATATTCTTTTAAACACGAAAAGTGCACATGCGTCTCCAAACAACTTAATAGTTCTAATTTTGCAGTCTTTCAAAATACTTAACAGGCTAAATGAATTCAATCAGAAATTAAAGAATGACAATGTTCATGTACATGAATTGTGAATCAAAGCTAAGGCGTTTGAAATCAGACTCAATCTGCAACTTGAAGAATGTAAACACATACATTTCCAAACATTGGGGATACAAGTTGTCTCGTTGGAATCAGCCCAGGGACAAAATTATCAGATTTCAGAAATCAATTAAAAATTCTCATGACGGTTTAGCGATTTAAAACATCTGAACCACAGTTTAACTTAATAATCAGTCTACTTTTCGATAATGAGGCAGCGATCTAGAGACGGAACTGATAGAATCGGAAGGTGACAACCAAAACGAACACTTAAAACATGTAGCGTTTAATAAAACTTTTTCACAGTCTAAGCAATCTTTCTCATCGAATGTTTGCTTTTTAGGGTGAAAGTGAGCTTAAGAAGAACTTCATTCATGAATGGTGTACATTAAGTTCGAATTCAGATGTCGGTTTACAGACTCAAATCTCGAGTCAGTTATACGTATTACTACAAGCAAGATAAATTCTAATTGAAAAGCGCAAGTGGTAAATTATGAATAATTGAGTGTATTCGGCTTGTGCCCTGGCTTTTTGTGCTCCTGTTCGGCTGATATTGATTGCTGCCTTCTTGTTCCTCCTTTCTTCAATCTTATCCAGTGTGCCAACAATGATCTATTTCTTGTGGTGGTGCTTATTGTGGCCCAGAACCTCCTAACATGTTGAAATGATTACCTCCTTGATATCTTTCCAGTTGCTCTCCATGGTAGTTTCTTCTCCATTGAGTAGATCATGAAAGGACTGGAACCTGCTACTGAGGGCTTTGTTGAATTTGTTGAGTTTGTCAGCATCTCGATGAAAGGCCGTATTGAACTTTTGTGATGTTGTCCGCGCCACTGTCCACTGCTTCTTCAGTTTTAGTTTCATCTTGGCGACCAGCAAATGATGATCGGATGCTATATCAGCTCCTCTCCTGGTTTTCACATCCTCCACAGTTCTCCTGAACTTTTTGTTGATGCAGATGTGGTCGATTTGATTCTGTGTAGTGTGATCCGGTGAAATCCAAGTGGCTTTGTTTATGTTTTTGTGTGGGAATATGGTGCCACCTATGACCAGTTTATTGAAGGCACATAGGTTTGCAAATCTCTCACCATTTTCGTTCCTTTCTCCCAGTCCATGTTGTCCCATGACGTCTTCGTATCCAGCGTTGTTCGTTTCAACCCTGGCATTGAAATCTCCGATCAGAATGGTCAGGTCCTTGGTTGGGCACTTCTCGAAGATCGACTGCAGCCTATCGTAGAATTGGTCTTTAGCGTCTTCATCGTAGTCGTTGGTAGGCGCATAGCACTGGGTTGATTTAGACTACCATAAAGTACTTAAGAATGAATTAAATATGTAAAAAAATGATTAACTACTTTCAACACAAAACACTTAATATTTACATTCTAAACTCACTTGTTATTTACTGAAGTTTCATTTTCTTGATTAGCATTAATGTCGTTGATTCTAGTTAACTGACTTTTTCCGGTAATCACTGGAACCAAAGACCAATCATCGATACCTTTCTTTTCATGTTTCGCGGTCCCATTAGTAGTATCTTTTCCTTTCTTTCCAAACCATCCTATATTATCAGTGATAAGACAGCAAAAAGTTAAATAAAAGTGATTCACAAGCGATTCAATGGGTTTTAAGGTGTGCTTGTAACTCAATTTCCAAAACCCCTCTCAACCTGCAAATGAAAGTCGAGAAACAGACTGTCAGAGAATTATGATGTACCCTGTATAGTGTCTAGTTGAAGTTTTAGAGTACCTAAAGGCGGTTAGTTAGTTCATCAGTATTTTATCCATACGTTAACCATTAGAAAGATATTTGCGACCAACCCCTTGGAAATATGGAATAATCATTACGAAAAATGCGAATATTTCAAGTCGGAACGACATGATTAGAAAAACGGTAATTAAAAACGTCGGAATGATAGGTATTTTTCGAACCGAAATCAAACCACTCAACAGTCTTGTGAAATATTGCCTCACAATGTTAATATGGAAATGGATTTTAGAAATTGTTCTTTCGACTTTAAAGACACGTGTACCACTGAAAAGATCAGTCCTTTTCATGAAAAGAATAAATAGAAAAATACTAGGTGGCTGTTTCTATAGTATTTTATCCCTGTACAGCAAATGTTAATTTACCGCAAAAAAGCACTTCAGTAACCGATTTAAAACTACCAGTCATAATCAAAATATTATAAAAGTCTACTATGACAATCCCTTTATTAAATTGCGTTTAAACAAACTTCAATCCTCAAAACAGGAAAAGCACTATGTTAGAATAAGGAGAACAATCTGTAAGTGTTATCTTTCAGCTCTAGTATAATTTCTAACTTTGGTTTATTGGGAAGATTGTGTAGAGAAAAAACAAATGACTAAATAGTTTCCCATCACATTTTCAGTAATTAAATTTTTTTTGTCTTCGCATAGTCATTTATTAAAACTTTGTTATTTCATTATACATTACCTTTCAAAAACGTTTTATTACTATATGCTGATCGATTTCTTTATTCAGTTGAAGCATTCGTTTTCTTAAAAAGTGCCTCATACCCTTTGCATTTACTAAGCTTCCGTCTCTAGATATTCCTTTGTATATTTTCATAAGTTTCATTAAATTACAAATTTCTGATTTTAAAATAAGATATGGTGTTTAAGTTACGACTTATTTTTCTCAAAGATAAAATAAAACACGATAAAGTTCAGCATTTTGTTTCATTTATTCTTCAAATCTCTACTGATCTGAACAAGTTTTAAATTTGTTTAATGCTATAATAAGTACAGAAAGATAATATACTTGGTAAGATCGTTTTTAAATGACGCTTATCTATTTGCCTATCTTATAAAGCATATCCAATTACGTTGACATTACTTTTGATTTGTAAAACTACCTAAGTATCATACTACCTATCGTGCACAAAAATATCTGAACACTTTTATCAAAAGAAGCATTCTAATCAATGAACTATTTTTTGTATTATTTTAATAAAGTGACTTCTTAGTCTTCAGTTTATTTATCATTTTGCGGGAATATGCTTATAAACATGATTTGGTATTATTGTACTCATCGTTATAGTTCACTCGTCGTTTAATTATTTATTGATATTCCAATAACAGAAACAATCTATGTACATTATTATGGTCTAGTGAATAATGCCTATTTATGCCAATATCACACTCTATTGTTATAATCTTATTTCTTGACTTACCTGAGAAAAATGCATTATGTGTTGAACATGATCTCGTTTCCGAAGTAGATTGATTGATGAATGTCTATAATATAAAGTGAATGTTTAGAAGAGGGACTCTACAAGATAAAAAATGATGGAAAACATCTAAAGTAAATTCATCAAAAAGCGTAATTTTTTAATGAAATGAATGTCATCATTTTAATTAGGGTTTATCGCAGTTTTATAGAAAGGTGAATGAACAAAATATTCAGAGAAACAACCTACCGTTAGAAATCGCTCTCCGACATTGGATGGTACATTGGTCCAAAATGTTGGTGCTTTTTGAAAATGCATCCCTGTTCTAAGTAGTTCAGAATAATAAAAAATAAATTTAAAGGATAAAACCACAAGATTTATCGTTTATTTTTCTGCTTATTTATTTTATTAGTTTATTGCACATGATTATGGAGAGAGTGCTGGTCTGTGGATACCATTTTGAGTGACAGAAGAAGTAAATTCGCAGAACAATAACACACTACACTAAATGAAATAAACAACTTGATAAATATCTGAGCGCAGTAACTCAAGAGTCTGTTACCGTCAATAGAGTTTTTACAAGACCAAAGGAACAACATATTTAATGTCACTGTTTCGAAATCTTTAGTAGTAATTATAACTGTCCCCTTTAAAAAAGATAAGTTGAACGGAATGAGTCTCCATTAATTTTTGTTATAATTTGCTTATTTCAGAAAACCGTGTAGTTCTGGGACCTAAGAAATATTATTTAAATTACACAGCATAATTCCAGTTTTTGAGTAGTAAGTTTTGACTGTGAATGTAAGAAATTCTAAATAAATTGTCTTTATGATTTAAACACTTTCATAAAGATTGACCTTAACACATAGCAAACAGTCGTGTTATTTGTAATCTATTTTCCTACTTTCTGAGGACTAAAGCACATTTCAAATACTGTTCTTATCCACTTATCACTACGTTTATTAGAAACTGGATACAAACTGACTTCGGTGAAACCAAAGTCCTTCAGAAAGTTTTTGCGCCGTCTAAAGAAGGATTGACATCCGAACATCTGGATATAAGGGCCAATCAAAACAATCTTCGTAGATAGAATGAAGTACAGTCAACGAAATGAAAATACGTTATTTGCTACTATCGATTTCATTGATACCTAAAATATTATGATCAATAATACCAAAAACGACAACTGATATTCAATTGTTTAGTTATATATATATGAAAGTACCTAACTTGACCCAGGCCATGGACTTGCATCACTGGATTTAGATGAAAATTACATACAAAGCTTCATGTGCCATACTTTGGACGCACTTCAGATTGAATATTTCACATTGACACTACAAACTGAATCCAACATGTGAACATACTTGGACAATAGTTTAGAACTGAGTTATCATTGTGACTTTGCTTACCTTCGGTTATTTTGTAATTTAACTCAGGTAAACTTACAACACTGAAATTTCCGCGCATTGTTTAATGATTAAGCCGAAATATGTCTCTGATTCACATTTGAAATCATTTACGTCTTCTGCAGACCAGTACCGTTTTCCTTCGTGTATTTGTTCATAATCCAGTAAGTAGTAACCGTGTTGTTGTAACATGTTTCTTTTGCATCTCAATTTTAGTTTGAAGGTATGAAGACGAATCGACTTGTACCAAGAAATGAGACAAAATGTGTGGTTTTAGGATATTGCAACTCTTAAAATAAATTAGATAACTGAAGTTTTGCTTCACTGTTGGAAAAACTTTGAATTCGATTTATAAGTAAATTCTGCACATAATTTAAAAACTGGGAGGTTATTAAGTAATCCATCAGTGTCTTCATTCATAAAAAATATTTTCAACATGAATTTCATTACACTGTATCTAAAATGTTTATAATGAATTCATTCATTATATCTGGTATTAAAAGTGTTGAAAATACTAAGTGTTCAAATTCAGTATGACTGTCTTTCAGAAAACTCTCTTCAAGGTATTATACCGATAGTGTTAGAAAATATTGTTTATTTTAACAACAAAATAACTCGAAATCAAAATATTCCCCACGTGGAAGTAGAATGTATGAAAATTTGTTTTTTTCATAAAGATAGTCAAAGAATATATCAGTTCAGTCACTTATTTATCTGAAATTAGCTCATCTTATAGACATAAACTGTTTGGTTCGTTCAAGTCAAGTAAATCGGTTTTCTATACCATGCAGAAGAATATTTGTTATTCATTCATACTAATTCTCAGTATTTAATATGTCTAAGACAAAATAATTCGGCACTTGTGATTATGATCTCCACAACACTGAACATAGGCAACCTTTATTCAAAGCACTGTAAAGATAAACTACAGTACATTCTTAAAATCAAAGTGACACGTGCTAAATCATGATAAGATACACTGTTATGCAATTAATTCGGTCATTTCAATTTCTAGATGGTAACTAATATAAAGTTGATTGCTTTCGTAATTTATGGTTTGAGAGCTTGACACTTTTTTAAAGCGATAAATGCCACTAAAGTCAATAATATCTGTTATTTTCTAACCGTATTCTTAATGAATATAAACATCATGTGATAACACATAAAAATACCTGATAATTAGCTATAATAAAACCAACTTTGAAGTTTACATTGTGTTAAATTATTGTGAACCATAAACAATGCTGTCTGATAGTATCCTCGCTAAACAACTCTATCTCAGCAGCAAATAACATCAGACTCAACAGATGATGCAAAGACTTGAGGATAGTGCTCAAAGAACGTGTACGTTACCTTCCACATATCGATACCGATCGATGAACCACCTTTGGTATAGTAAGCGTTCATAACCTAACTTATCGTCTGTGTTTGAAAAGATTTTTATAAAGAACTGATATCAGATAGAAAACCACTAAAAGAAAGAGAGGATTACACAATTACTTCATTCCTGTTTCAGATACTACGACGTTAATCATCAATGAAAACATTTGGGATAGAACCTATGACTCTCATAGTTTATTGAACACCGATTGAAATATTTGAAAGTGAATGAACAAATCATTGGAGAAAATGTGTTTATAAATACAGTTATAAATACATAATGGACATATAAATTTAAAAAATATCTGTACCAGATCCCTTAGGAATTCTTCTACTGTTTTATTTTCGAACGTAAACATGTTTCGATAATGTGCACAACTATTAATATGCTCAGTACCATATGTAAGTAAAATAGAGTGAACATCTTGATCAGCTTCCATTTCAAAAAGTTCGTCAGCTAAGCTTTTCTGATTGATTTTTGCAGTTAGTGGCTGATTTTGAATCCATGACTCTTCTGTATGTGACTGGATCACTGAAATTTTCGACTTGTTGTAATCAATGTCTGGAACATTTATTGGCAAGTTAGACCTGTTTTTAAAGTGAAACGAGCATAACAAATTCGTAAACTAAAAAGTCATTTTACTATCCACAACTAAATTTCGATGAACAGACAAGGATAAAATTAGTACATCTAGCGAAAACTATGAATTAATAATCACTTGAAGTTAGTTTATTTCCTGTCTTGTCTTTCACCTAAGATGCAATATATTCCTAGCTTGAACGTTACAACTTTTACAGTTCTAGTTAAACAAAGGTATGGTCAACCGTTGACCCAAATGAAATTAGTTGGATTTAATATTGTCTGCTATTATGTTTATGGGTTAAGTAAAATATATTTATATAGAATATATATAGTTTGACTAGCAATAGGATGAAGGAAGCACCTTCTTTGAGGCTCATTAGATGGATGCACCTGCATTCCGGAGTTCATGTTAAATCCCGTATTCGGACACATTACCTTTCGTTTCAAACTACTGACGCGTTATCCATTTAGGCACTGAGTCAGGATAGTTACCCACATGCGCAGAGAGTATGAACATTTATTTAATTTGTGGTGGCATAAATTATTCCCTCGTTGAGAGTCAATAAAAATGCCAACTGGACAATGCTAACTTTAAGATTAAATGATAAACATTTAGTTGTAAGTTCACCGACAAATGTTTCACAATGAGAATATGATTAAATATTTATCACTGGTTTTCATTTATTGCATTATTTTACAACTAGCCGATTAAGCAATTTTTTAAAATCTAATAACCGATTTTATAATTTAGTGATTTAGATTTAGTCAATATGTATCTTATATTTTAAAATCAGTTTTAGATTCCTTTATTCATTCATCTAGCGTAAACTAAGTGAAAAAATAAATTTGTATGTGGACATTATTGTGCTATATTTAACCTTTTATTAAAAATAGTATATTGACTAAACAGTACGTGTTCAAACCCTTCAGTTTGGAAATATAAAAGTCAATCAACATCTTTGCGAAATATTTCACCACATTTGGTAAAACCACAGTAGAAGCAAACTAGAAAGTTAGTACATATTTGGATGACTTTAGCTAGTGATGGTTAACTCAACCAGTAAATGCTATCAGTCGTGAATTTTCGGTACGGCTGACTTCATATAGCAACCTTCTTAAAATTTCTTTTCTCTCTTCTTTATGAAACGATATACTTTCCTTACTTAGTTCCTACTCACTTACGTCTAGAAATAGCATTCCTCGTTGATTAATGAATAATGAATCCGAGAAATTTCAATCAATAAGATCATATATCACTAAAAATAAATACTTTATGGCAATTATAGCTTTAGCGATCAGTAATAAATTTTGTTATATTAATGATGACTTGAACATAAAAATGATAAAAAGTTTTGTTTTCACCTAGGTAATTGAGGTAAATCAGGCTTCTTATATATATATATATATATATATATATATATATATATATATATATATATATATACGGTAACTCATTTGTTAACAATACAACATACCCCTCATATGATGAAATAGATTGTATATTTTCTTCAAATCCATTAACTTTAGAACTGCATATTTGCATTAGATTGATCTGTATTTATCAAAACGTTAGCAAAATCTAACTTACGTTTTCTTCAATATCATTTATTTTTGCACGAAGTTCAGAAAGCTCAGATTTTGCCTTTAGTATGGTTGTCTTTAAAAAAATTCCGACTCACCACAAATAATTCGTGTGACTTTTTAGTTACCTGTTCTTGATTTATATTTAATAAGTTCTATAAGTAATTAAGTTCTAATATTGTTCGAGGTGACAAACCTCATAATCATGAATTATATGAAAGAGCTCTTTAATATGTTCATCCCTTTCTGTTAGTTGCTTATCCAGCTTAAATAACTGTAAGTATAAACATATAAGCCATTATTTAGTGTAGCTAGACCAACAAACTGCTTTAAGGAATACGAGAAAAACGCCTACTTATTGCCTATTTGGACGTTGGCTTTTGTTGGTAAACTAACTAAGAACGTTTGGTCACTATTTGTTCCGTCAAACAGTATATATGACTTAGAGTCCTAAGTTCTGTATACGACAGATAATTATAACCTTATTAGCCTAAACCTATTAACGGATAGAAGCAAAACATATTAAAATGGAACACTACTTTTTAAACATAAAATAACAAACGAAAATATTCATCATATTACTGAAAATTCAGTGCGAAATTTTTTATTTCACTGCGGCTATTATTCTGTTTAAGAGCGTCTACCATCCTAGTGACTGTTACAAGGTTTATGAGATCATAACAGTTCGGATTTTAGCCATTGTATCAGCACAGCAAGATAAACTTATCGTAATGCATACAATAATGATAAGAGTAGTGACAATTTTGAAACCCATGATTTAGAGTTAGAGAAGAAGTGAATGCGTCTACACCATTGAGACCAAATCTGAGACAAGTTTTCTAATGCATGCAACTGTTTGTTATGGTAATTACATGGAAATCAAACAAGTAATTTGTAGGTACCAATGTGTATGAGACCACTAATCAGTGTCTTTATTATCTGATAACACACTTAACTACCTCAGACTATAAGTTGGTGAAAAAATATGAGGAACTAATTGTGTTTGAAAATGTGTGTAAAATAATGGACACGAATGCAATCAAAAGATTAGATAACCAGATCTCTGGGTCCTTAAACAAACTTGCCAAAGAAGAACAAATACCAAAACAGGATCCATGGCGAATGAAAATCAGTGGACCATCACCCTCTCAATTTCACAGTAAGCCAAAAGTACAGAAACCAAAAATTGTACTACACCAAATTCTGTCACTCTCCAAAACCCCATAATACAAGTTATCAACAGGAATTTTGAGAATATTGAAAAATTCGATGGATTTATTTGATAACTCCATTAAGTTTAACGCACAATTATTTAATAAGATTAGTGATATTCAAACAAATAACGACAAACTAATGATATCTTTAGACCCTTATTCACCTCAATTAAACCAAACGTAGCAAAGAAAACTTTATCCTCACACCTTATCAGTGATACAAATCTCCCGAAGTGCACGAAGCTACAGAGTCAAAATCTAGTCGATCTCGTGGATTTACATTCAACAACATACTTTCAATTCAATAACAAAATCTATGGACAGACGAAGGGAATAACAATGAGATCAACAATATCAGGACTTATTACAGGGTTAGTGACCCAGAGACTGGAAGCCTCGACTTTACCAGTAATATAGCCGAAAATATAGATTCGTTATTTGGATTACACGTTTGTTATTATCAGAAAGAACGATCTGCAAAGCACCTACAATTTGATCAATAACATGAAATAAAATTCACAGAGTTAAAAGAGTCAGATAGAAAACTAACACTCCTAGACGGATTGACCGCCAGAACCGTCACAAGGAAACTGGATTCTCAAGTATATCGAGACCCAACTTAGGCAGATCAAATTGCAAGCTACAGTAGCAACAATCAGAAAACTAGCAATCAACTGCGTACAAAGTCTACCCAAAAGTTAAGGACACATTGCAGGACACTTACGTCACGTCTTTTAGAGAACGACAAGTCTCTCCGCCTCGTCAAAAAATAACAATTGAAACCATCAATGGAAACCAAATAAATACAAAAACCAGAAAGCAGATCATCCTACCACATATAAAAGACATATTAGAAATTGCAAATGGGACTATTGAGGCAGTTAGGAATGGGTGTAATGCTTAAACCAGCAAAATCATTCTAACTAATGCAAACCAAATGATAAAATAACAAAAGAAGAAAAACCAAGTGTCATCTGAGAAATAAACCGTTCCGATTGAGAGAAACACTGCATCGGATAGAGTGAATGCCCCCTTTATCATCGGCTCCAAGAACAATAGCTATTTGTCAGATGCCATGATATATTTTCACCTACATCTATATATGTGGACAATTGTGAGCACATATTTGACTGGAAAAATGTTAAGATCTTGGATGGATAGAATACTAAGAATGTCAGAGGATTTTTAGAAACGTGGGACTCAAGTAAATCAGCAATAAACATGCACATCAAAACCAACCTAATTTTTCAGCCAGTTGGAAAAATCCTGAACGAATACAGAATCGAGAGTCATGTCGAAAGGAGAGAAAATCAAAATAAAGATTCGGACAATGACAGGCTAAAGGTCAACAACAACCAATTAAGATCGAGATTGATGGGGCAAGCTGTTGGTCATATGTGGAGAAATTCGAATATTCCACTTTCACTTGAAGCATGTGCTGACTATGTTGTCCAGAATAACAATGAAAACTCCTCAATCAAAACACTAACATAGAGAACAAGACTCCACCGAAAACCGCAAGTCGCTTCCAACCCATTTCTACGCAAGCCAATATTGGGGATGGAAGATTAGTTAGGCCTACCTAATAAATGCTTAATCTACATCAGAAGATGAGTACTTAAAATATTATCAACCGACTTCCTAGCTTTTTCTAGTACCTCGCATTTAACCACAACAATAAAAACACTAATATCTTTATCCCATAATGTATTCCTAAAAGTTGTGTGGGATTTAAGGCTCATCATTTCCTATAGATGAACTTATTTCAGTGACGTTTTACCCTTGGATTAGGGTGTTGCACTATCAAGTCAGGGCCTCTTCAAAAACTGCTATCTAAATAACAGTTTCTAAGACTCATGTAATGAAGTACAACTTAATAAACAATTGTCAAATAATGTCAAATGAATGGAAAAATCACGCCCATGTATTAAATAGGCCTCATACAACCGCCAATTTACTACAGGTATGAAAGGAAAATGTAAACTCTTCGATAGTTTACGAGTATCTGTTGGTGACCATATGTTCAGCCTGTCTCTCATTCATTCCAGATTTAAATTATACTTTGAAACACCTCCTGACTAGATTTCGGCATATAAAGTTAAATTGCCATCAAACTACTAAGGGTGGGTTGACATATGATAAATAAAAAGAGAGGATTTTCGAAGCAATTGTTTTACTTTTCCAGTTGGTCGGTGAGTGATTAGCACTAGAATATCATGGCTCTTATATAATATTTCCCATCAAATGAAGCTTCTTAAATATTTACACTCCGGTCATTCTCATGATTCTGAACGTCTATTTTAGTGAAAATTAAAATGATCAAGTTATAATGCCATCAAAACGTTGAACTCGTTGTTATATGTTAAGGCCATATGCTGGCAGAAAAAGAGGACAATATAGTTACATTCAAAAAAGAATTTGTCTGTCAGCCCTTGAAAGTCTTCACTCTAACAATAACGTTGTACCTTACATCTCAAAAGTGAAAGCCTTTACTTCTGAATTTCGCAGCATAAACTCTACCAGATTATTATTCGTGGTGTGAAAAATAACTAACAAACAAAGATCAGAAGCTTGAAGCGTCTGGATTTTAATAGTTAGTGAACCAAACGGTTTTACTGAATAAACTTGACGAATTAAGAAATAAGTGAGTTAGTTGAAAATGATAGAGTTGCAATAAAATGCATTTAAGTGTACATAATGATATAAGGTGAGTAAGGATGAGAATGTGAAGTAAATTTATGGTCAGATTATTTAAGAAGTCAATACGATCGTTTTCTTCCGTATGGATCGAGTGAGTTAACTGAGATGGAATACTTGCTAGTGATGTTGATTTGTGGTGAGCGACAGAATCTAAGGAGTTATTTTCTTCCTGCATAGCACTTTTCAGTAGTACACTCCTCAATTCCAGTGTTAATCTTCATCTGGAAACTTAAATTAAATATCTTAGTTTCTAAGACGATGCTGTTTATAAAAAGCAGCAACTGCTCCAGTTTTTAACTTTCAGTAAATAAACTGTCTCGAATTTTCAACTAGGATTCAGCCATTTGATATGATGGTTTATTATATTAATAAAAAAGGAAATCCTTCATTTTATATAAGCAAGATTTAATCCAGAAACATTAGCAATTATAATAAGTTTGAACTAACCAGTAATAACAAGATTGACAGATCAAAACAAATACATATTAAACAAGACTTTCTTTTACAGAGAATATCCTAAAGTTGAGGGGTAGAATGATTAGATATTCTTTAAATAACAAAGCCAAAACAGATGGTCTTAACAAAATTGAAAGCCACGATCGAAGAAAAAAGACACAAGTGGCACACTAAATATTCTCAGTCACTAAAAGTGAAGAAATTGAAGCTAAAGTTATTGCTAATCATAATAAACTTTATAATGGGTCGCATTTCTGATCGTAGTAATCAAAACGGAGACATATTAGTAAGCGGAAGTTGATGGATAACTAAGCAGCAAGGTAATCAAGTATCAGTTGAAACGCTGCGTGGTGAAGGTTTTTCAATATGGACTTGGGCAAATGGTGGACAAATATTCTGAATCCTTCTGTCTGTCAATCGGCTTATGTATCAAGATTTCTACGGCTATTTGGCTGCAACTAATAAGGTAATACACTACTATAAAGCGCAGGAACGCATATATAGATTCAGAAAACCCTGTCTTCTGACTATTAGAACACACGTAAACATCAAACGTCGCATGTCCGAATTAAATAGCTATTTCCCACATATA